CCAATTGATTTAAACCCATCTGAATCTACTCCGATATCATCTATACTACCACCGAAAACAACCACCACAACACAACACAACACCACACAACAACAAACAAACAAAATGTCCTACCGCACCACCTCCAGCTCCTCCTCCGCCTACTCTTCCTACTCCTCCTCTACCTCTAATGACAACAACAACCCCCGAACCGAATCGACCGGCCACCGCTACGCCACCACCTCACACACCGACCCCACTGGCGCTACTACCGTCCGCACTGGATACCAGAACCTAGGCCAGGAGCCGGTTTTCGAAGAGCGGAGATTCGATTCCGCGGGTCGGGAGGCCGCGTTGTTGGATACCCAGGGTGGAATGGGTGCTGCGGGGGGAACTAGGGCTATTAGGGAGTTGGATGAGGATGCTGATGAGGGGGAGTGGGAGGATGGGACTTATTAAGTATTGAGTGATGGGGGTTTGTGGAGGGGATGATATGGTATATGTGTGTTTGATTTGATGGTAATGGTAATGGTAATGGTAATGTGATCTTTTTGATAGTATGCTGAAATATTGAGTAGCATGATTGTATATACGTAGTGATTGTTGAGTGTTGGGATAGTTGGTGATGGGTTATATCTGTACCGTGTCCAGCTGTCTAAGCCAGGTGTGCATGTCTGGGCTTTCGTCTAGGTCGTCGGTTAGATTGGGTATATATGTTGGTTGGTTAGCATGATAAATTTGATTGAATGGGGTTATACTTGGTAAATAAACCGATTGTGGATGCCACAGAGAGAGAGAGAATGTTCGTAAGATGCAGGTTAGGGAGCTCAATGATTATGTGAATGGTGAGAACTTATAGAAGTAGTCTCACTTTTGCTAGTGCCTGCTTGCTTCTTCGGGCTGTGGAAGCCGGATCGATCGCATCGCAGTGCTTTTGCGAAGAGAATGGTACTTTTGTACAGAGATGGGAACCGAACTGTAATTTAATGAGAGTGAAAGAATGGATATAATAGTTAGAAATGAATTAGTATTTTGATTATGTATCATCTTGATCTATCAACAAAAGAGAGAGGTTCTGGCTGAGTCCAACATAAAGGCTCCTGGAATGATCGTGCCGTGATACACCATGTCAAGTAATCTATTCCAGCCACGCCTCGATAGCAAATCGCAGGTTCTCCTGCAACCACTCCTCATCTCCTGTAGTCTCGCTTTCAAAGCCATGACCCCCTGGCCGCAGTGCCAAAACAATCTTATCCCCTCCCGGCTTCCCATCCATCACTTTCCTTGCCTTGTCCACGAAGGCTTGACTAACCTCCGGAGGCAAGATGTCATCTTCCAGGCCATGTCGGATAGAGATACCTCCACGGGGGAACTTGACGTCCGGCTCATCCAGCCGTTCCATAGGGTGCCGCAATGCCCGCCGGGGGTCCTTCTCAGTTCCACGTTCGTAGAGTTCATAGAGGCGTGCAACCTCAACAATGGCAAGCATTAAAGGCAATCGCTCAGGCGGTGTAATCGATGATTGGACTACTCCCTTTTCACTATCTCTGATCGCTTCATCGACAATACGATTTGCCTCTTCCAGAGACAGACCGCTCAAACGAGGTGGGTCCTTCCGTGCGGAAACATCCTCGACAGGAGCACTGAGAAAGCCAGGAAAGCTTGCTGTTGCAGCCCGGATCTCCTCTGGGTGCGCCAGGGCGTGACAGATACTGAGCGTGCCCCCGGCGGATTCACCGGCAGTGATGATGCGATCCAGGTCGAGTTCTGTTGGATTAGGCTGGGATGAGAGAAGTTCCGCCGCTGCGGGCGAATGCAGCCAGATCCAGAAATCCTCAATGTCGTCGAACAGGTCAAGGGTGGTGGCCTCGGGAAGGAGGCGGTAGTTTGGAGATACGATCACCGCATTGTGCTGTTTCGCGATGTCGAAGAGGTATTGGGGGAACCATTCAAAGAAGAGCGCGTCTCCGGTTAGCTACTGCAGGTTAGTATCGTACCGTATTGATGGTGCTTGTCTAGTGAGTGAGCTACTTACGAAACCCCCGCCATGGAAATGGATGATAACTGGCCGCTTGCCGGTGTAGTTTGACTGGGGGATGATGAGATCGGCGCGGATGTTGTGATCGCCGACTGTTTTATAGTTGGTTTGGACCAAGTCAAAACCGGCCAATCTCTTCTGCGCCAAGGGTGACTGCATTTTGTCAGGATTTCAAGTCAAAATTGCAATTGTATAATTGAGAGGATAATGAAGTAGGCAGAAGCATCATTCTGGCAGGAAATTGGCCCAATTTATGGTCTGTTGAAGATCACCTTGTTGAATGGCCATGTCGGACATCGCACGGATCAGCCGCTCTTCATGATGATATTTGTCTGGTTTGCTCTGTTTGTTGGAGAAGAACCTGGCATGTGATTGGCTATCTAGTTGGTATGGGGTGTGCTTGTTTGCATGGATAACCTCAGATGCAAACATCTTACAAATCTCATTTTTGCGCTCAGATTCTCGGATTTGACAATGAGACCGAAGCTGGAGTCTTGCTCTACCTCTGTTCTCGTGATAATGAAATTACTCAATGCAAGGGGATTAGCTTATGGTTTATCTGACAGGTTGCCTCCTGCTCAGCTCTAGTATTACTAAAGGAAATAAGTACGTGAACATTCACGTTAGATTCATACAAATGAAATTTTAATACTCAATAAGATTATCTATATAAATACTAAGTTTGTAAGAAAAAAACTAACACTAATCTTTGACTAAATAAAGACTCCATGGACACTCTATAATCGATGAGTTAGTAATCGGACTTCTCTGAATGCTTGCAAGTATATAACCTCAGGAATACAATCTGATCTGACTGTTATAAGAGAGTACTTCAATATATAAAATAGGTAGAGTATCAATTCTTAGTTGCAGGATGATTCGACCGAGTTTTTTGCTGTAGGGAATTTGACTGAATTACCGCTGAATAAACGCCCACCAGCAGCACCGGAACAAAGTATTCATGCCTAGGGTGTATTTCCACTGACTCATGTCTGCCAAGTCCTTCACCAGTTCCCACTCTAATATATTTGCAGCTATGTGATCTCCTGCCTACCTCTGCTAACCCTAAAGCAAAGGAAATAATGATCGGAGACTGGGCGTGTGGGGATCAGATTCCTCCCCACCTGCTGACGCGGACTTAAGCGGACTTAAGTGGACACACTAATATTTGACATCATGAGCTGTACTGCAATGGAAATAATTGAGTTTTCCCATACACCAAAACTCGTTGTTTCCATCTTCAAACTCCCCAATCAAACAAGATGTCCTCCAGCAGCTACAACTACAACAAACTCGCGGGCAAGCATGTCCTGATCTTCGGAGGCACCTCCGGCATAGGCCTGGGTGTGGCCAAACTATCACTAGCCGCATCAGCCAGAGTCACCGTGTCTTCATCCTCAAGCAAACGCATTGAGTCTACCATCCAAGATCTCAAGACAGAATTTCCAAGTGCCCAGATCCAAGGACACGTCTGCGATCTTTCCAAAGACACGATCGAAGAAGACCTCGAGACACTCTTCCAAAAGACCAACCAAGTTGACCACATTGTCTTCACCGCCACCGATGCACCAGCCATCATGCCCGTGCAGGAAATCACTCGGGAGAAGCTCATCGCTGCCGGTCAAGTGCGCTTTTTCGCAGCCGTACTCGTTGCCAAAATTGGCTCTCGCTATCTCTCCCCAGGTCCGGAGTCATCAATCACCTTGACGACGGGAACCAATTGGGAACGCCCGATGGCCAATTGGTCCGCGGTAGCTGGATACTTGGGTGGTACTTGCAGTGTTGCACGTAATCTGGCGGTTGATTTGAAGCCGATACGTGTGAACGCTGTGAGTCCCGGACTGGTGAAAACTCCGCTATGGAACGATCTGATGAATGAAGAGGAGCAGGAAAATCTACGCCAATTTGCCGCAGCGAAGAATCCGACGGGAAGGGTCGGTCTACCGGAAGAAGTGGCAGAGGCTTACATATATCTGATGAAGGATGCGAACGTCACTGGACGGATTGTGAGTTCGGATTCGGGTGCTTTGCTTGTGTGAGCGCATTGGTAGCATTGTCTTAGAAAATTAGAGAAAGCGATTGTTTGGACATAGAATTCCACGGCTTGCTTTGGATTTTATTGCAGATATGCTGTCTGAAGACCCCTAAACCGATTGGCTCAATAACTATATTGTCACGTAACTGCACCCTAATACTAGCCCCGGTGCCTCCGCCATAATTCCAGATACGTAGTACCTAGACCAACGCGATTATAAATACAAATAAACTAGGCCACCTCAACACGCTCGTAATTGTCTCCTTCAGCGCCTGACCTGTCTCATCAGTCCACACAACTTAACAGCACTACTCCGATCCAGGGCGCAGACACGCAAAGTCCAAGACCAAGGAAAAAAAAAGCCAACCGTCCAATAACCACCAACGATCTATAAGCGAGAAGCAAACCGTAGTACAAATTAGGCACACATGGTCGATTTGACCCTTATATACTACCCGAGATTACATTCCAGACTAGGAGCCGCCGCCTCATTGATCTCAAATCTAGACACGACCCTGGTTGAATTGAGGTCATTTACGTCCACATGCACATTACCTCATTATCCGAACGGCTGTGTCACCTTTGGATAGTGTTTCAGTCATTTAGTTCCATGTTGTGCGCGCGTATACCCCTACACTGCCCCGTCCGTCATGATAGCCGGGTTTGCAATCCCCCAGACAGATTGAACTTGTATATTCCCTCCGTATATGCCTAACGTCATGCATATACGAGTTGGTCAATTGACCTTGTATTGAGGACTAGGCAGATACATGACTGGGACCGAGCCAGAACCGAACATGGACTATCATAAGGGACAAATAACTTATATATAGGACCATGATCTACTTCCATATCATCGGCTACAAGTCAGAGTGTGAATCTTCAAACAAACACCAGATAACTGACCACCTTATTTATCAGAACTACTGCCTACTATATACTACCAAAATGAACCTCCTCACCACCCTCCCCCTTCTCCTCCCTTACACCCTCGCCCACCCAACCAACCCCCTAACCGCCGCCCTGGACATCGCCCACGACGCCACCCAATCCGCCGCGAACATCATCTCCTCCACCCCCAATATCATCACCTCGAACGCGCCCTACGACCTCGTCTCCGATCTCTGCTCCCCAACAGGCGCAAACTACTGCAACCTCGGCATCGCCACGTACGCACCCAACGGCCGGGTCCAGTTGCGCGAGACCTACGTCTACGATCGTTCCTGTAGGGGAATTGGTGCTCTTCCGCAGAGTCTCGATACGGGCCATTGGTCTCTGCATTCGTTGCTGCCGTGGACGGTGGAGGTTGATGTTAAGGGCGGTGGGAATAAGCCGGAGGGCGATGCTTGGTATGCCGGACGGAAAATCGATTTGGGGAAGAAGATGGCGTGTAAGGATTGTGCGGGGGGCTTGAAGGATTGGCAGTGTTGTAGGGTGGCGTTTGATTGCCGGTAGATGACTATCTTAGGTTAGTGGGAACTAGCTGGAGGAGGGGAGGAGAGTGATGATGGTCTCTTTCGGGTTTGAATGTTTTTGTCTTGTTTGGGGGAATTGATGGTTTTGGGTCAGTCATGAATTCAATGAGAAGATTATGTTAAAGGAAGAGTGTGACTGTGTGTGTAGAAAAGGGGTTAATGGAAGTGGAGAATAATGGTCGCTTTTATAGGTAGTATGATTTTGGGACGGACGTATTGCTGTCCGATATGTCGTTTCTGGCCTTACAGTCAGCATTTGACATATGATGTGGTCTAATCCGATAAGTACCGTAATGGCCATCCTGATTGCAGATGACTACCTACATTAACCCTTCTAGACAACACGGAAAGCTTCGGCAGCTGAATGGCTCATTTCCTTGGATGAAGCACATGCTAGACAACTATAACTACCGAGTTAAGGGTCCAGGATCCATCACTCCAGCTCCACCCGACCAAAGCCCCCGCTTCCTATTTAAAGGCTAGGGAGGCACTGGTGTCTTGGAAACGTGTCAGGAAGAGTTCCCACCTTATCCCCATTTGTATCATCATGGCCATTGCGAGTTCCACCTCTGCCGCCCCGAAAGGCAACGCTTTCGTTGGAACCGAAGGGATTTATAACCTCCCGCACCATAAACGGGAGATCGACCGTCTCCAACGGCAGCACAACTTCATTCTGTCGTCCACAGGAGGTCTTCTCCTGAGCATGCCTGTGGAGACCAATGCTACACTGAGGATTCTGGACGCTGGTGCAGCGGACGGTAAGTGGAAAGGAGAGAGCCCTTCTGGCGTCAAGATAGCTCCGTTGACTCATGATGCTGGAGTAGGAACCTGGCTTCGTTCTGTAGCTCAGAACTATCCCAATCAGAGATGGTCCCTTCATGGCATCGACATTGGCTCCGCACTTTTCCCGCCCCCATCTGCAGACGGTCCGATTGTGGATCTTCGGAAGCATGATATCCGGGAGCCAATTCCAAAGCATCTGCACCTACCAGAAAGCTTCGACATCGTTCATCAACGCTATCTTATATGGGGCCTGAAAAGCTCGGAATGGCCACAGGCCGTGGGAAACTTGCGTTCAGTGTTGAAGCCTGGAGGCTGGATTCAGCTCGTGGAAGCCCAATGGGTAGATCGTGACACACCATTTGACCCTGTTAAGTTCCCTACCCTTGCCAAGATGTCGGAGTTCGAAAAGTGGAGCACTGCTGCTTTTGGGATGAATGCTTATATTGCTTATGAACTGGAGGATTTGCTCAGTGACCTGGGGTTTAGGAACATTAAGAAAACATCGTTCGCTTTGGGGTATGGTGCAATGGCTAGAGAGGAGCAGTGGAAAGTGGCCTCTGCTCATATATTGGTGGAAGGATTCCGCAGCCTCGGGCATAAAATGCCCCCTGGCGGTATCCCTGGGGTGGCAAGAACCCCGGCTGAGTACGATGCTTTCTTGGACGAATTGCGGGACGACGTGATAAAGCATGGATATGCGCCGCAGCTGAATATTGTCATTGGGCAGAAGCCCTCGGAACTGGCTTTAGCCTCACTCTGAGTGCACAGGCGCTGAGTTTGTCTGGACAAGGTACATGATGTGGGTTCATGCGTTGGACCATATATTGTAATGTGTTTATTCTTGAGTGTTTTGGTTGAAATGCTATAACTGTACTTCGTATACCAAGCATGATAATCACCAGAGATGTAGAGTAGCCAACGATGGCGCCAGCGTCGTGGCGGGTAAACAGGAAGCTTATAAACGGGTTGGACGAGGTTGGACGGGAGGGTGAGGAGCGAGCATGTGCAGGTGGTACGAGGGAGCTAGGGCCTCAACTCCTTTACCATACTTCTGATCGGAACCTTATAGATCACGACCACAACGAGCACGGAAATAAAACTTATCGCGATCGGAAGAGGCCGTCTATGTGTTTTCCCCTGCCCTGGCCATGCAAGGAGGCGGGTGTGGTTCCACCTGCACCTGCGACCAGCTCCACTGGCTCAGGCAGACAAGGCTGCCTGGTTTGATGGCTAAAATCATACATGATATATGCGTCCGGAGTCGTTCCGCCATAGCTAGGCCAGAAGCCTATGCTGTGTACTGACCAGGCTCATTCTGTGTGAGATATGAATCACCGACATAAGGCACACCTTCACACGTCTGTGTCGGAGATCAACTATTGCCCGAGGGCGGTATAATACTGATTCCAATGGCAAGGCATTGTTCATTCGAGCACACTGAGCCTCACAAGTGTGATAAGGCTACTGGCATGCTTGCTGCATGCATAAGCGGCGAATAGCTTTGAGACCGCACCAATCATGCAGGTTATATGATGATGTTCCCAATGTATTTGCATATGTACCGTGAGGTGGCTGCTCTCATCGAAATTATCCCAAGGCTACAGCGTCGCTGCCTACCATCATTATTCGAGACTCTTCTATTTGCCCTCTCAAAGAAAATAGCAATATAGACCTGAATGAATGGCTCCCCATTCTATAAGTATCAGCCTCGCCCGAAAGTAAGTTTGTTCATCAGGCTCTTCATTTCTTTGTTTACCTAAAAAAATTCATTAGTTGACAGCAACATGGGAGAACAGCCAGGCCTAACAGAGAAGGAAATCGACGCGGAGAACACCATTGAGGAGCCGACCCCTACAGCCAAGGAAGAATGCGGTGATCAAAAAAACGCTGAAGAAGACCAACAAAAGACGACGGGAGCGGACTCCAGCTCTGAAGAATGGCAACACCTTGATAATACTGTCCCCGACGAGGCATCTTCTTCGCTTGGTTGTCCTGTGAATAAAGACCTAGAGGACACTATACCAGATGACTCCCAGAAAGGCTTGGTGGAAGAGAGTACCAATACGGTTAACACGCCAACATGCAGCGATACAACAAAGGAAGGAAGCCAACTAGGCGATGACGAAGCCATTGAAACACATGTTGACGAGGGTGAGCCACCAGCCACAATTTCGTCTAGCGAAAACAAAGATGTCGACCAGGGCAATTCGAGCCCTAATCGCGAAAGACTTGACGAAGAGGTGAACTTACTTGATAGCAAAGAGAAGTGGACCAATGCAGAAGGAGAAGACAGCGAAACACACGAATCCGAAAACAATAACGTCGACGACAACCAAGCCCACAAGATCGACGAGAATATTGGCAACACAATCAATGGCGACCAAGTCAATGAAGAAATTGCCGAAGAGACGAACGATAACGGGATTCATCATAACAGTGAGGGGGAGAGTAGTGATACTCAAAATGACGGATATAACGGTGAAGAAGACAACAGCCAGCGCGATGACGATGACGAAGACACCAAGTCTGCCTCCAGCACAGATAGCAACTACTTTTTCAAAACATGGAGGTATTTACCAGAAGACGAAGACATTGCTGAAGGGAATGAGATGGACCTGAAGTTTGATGATCAAGCCATTGAAGACCTTGAAGCCAATGTGAACGACATGGACGATGAATCGCCCTCCCGCTTGGAATGGCTTAGACAGAAACGGCTGCTAGCTGGGCTGCAGCTATCCAAGAATGAACAGCGCCTTGAACGGTTGATGGATCGTGTAATGTGTCTGATTGGCCAGGAGAATATCAAGGCTCAATTTCTGGCCCTTAAAGCCAGAATTGAAGCAGATAAGGCGCGGGGCGAAGACTTCAAAAATGCCCATCATGACATAATGATCACTGGAAGCATAGGAACCGGTCAGTTTATTTCCGGAATTGCGTGAATATTCACTGAAGAGCATAGGAAAAACAATCGTGGCCAAGCTCTATGCGGAGTTCCTTGCTTGTTTTGGTCTTGCGGCGAGGAGTATCAGCCATTATTCAGGGTTCCACGTGGCATGCAAAGAATTCCACCGTTGGCACCCGTCAGAAGGAGTATGCTTAGTATTCCCTTTTCTCGAAAGGTCCATATATATACTAAAATATCACAGGTCATGTTCATTAACCGAGCCGACCAGCTTACAACACATCCAACAGTGACTGACGAGTTTCTCACTTTCATGCGGAACTTTGATGGAGATATTGTGGTCATTCTGATCGGACCGCACAAAGGGTTCAGTGATACCGGAGCGTCTCGCCTCTTCTCCATGAAATTGGCTCTCGAGGACTATTCTGATGAAGAAATCCATCGCCTGTTGGTTCGTATACTGAAAAAGGCTAAGTTGCACGTTGAAGGGGGTTGGGATGGACCGTGTCTAAAAATCCTGACTCGTCGAATTTGTCTTACGCGATCAGATAACGCTTTCAATAATATCCTTGCTTTGCGCACTGTTCTGGAACTGGTGATGAATCGTCAAGCTTTGCGACTCCGCCAGTCATTAGGAGACACGGCAGCCAAGCGCGCGAAAGCAGCCAAGCGCGCGAAGGAACCCAACTATAACTATCTGACAAAACTCGATCTTCTCGGACCAGAACCAGTGAACAAACTCAGAGACAGCGAGGCCTGGAAGCAACTGCAAGACATGATCGGGTTCCAGGAGGTCAAAGAGATGGTCGATGAACTGGTGCATCAAGCAAACACCAATCATCACCGTGAGCTTCAAGGCCTATCTCCACTTGATATACCCTTGAACAAGGTGTTCTTAGGCCCTCCAGGTACTGGAAAAACCACAGTCGCCAAGCTATATGGGCAGATTATTACCGAAATCGGTCTCGTCTCTGGTGATGAGGTTGTGGTGAAAGACCCATCTGATTTCATTGGGCAATATATCGGCGACTCGGAAGCAAACACCAAGGAAATACTCCGTGCTACTGAGGGCAAGGTTCTCATCATTGATGATGCGCATATGCTGTATCAGGGAACTGGGCATGGGGCTAATTGCTCAGATTCGTTCCGGCTCGCTGTTGTGGATACGCTAGTTACAAATACTTCGAATGAACCCGGCGATGACCGTTGTATTATCCTCATTGGTTATCCGGACCCGATGAAGGAGTTCTTCAACAACAGTAACCCGGGGTTACGACGTCGATTTCCATTAGAAGAGGCTTTTCACTTTGAAGACTACTCAGTCGATCAGCTTGCCATGATTCTTGACCTGAAAATGTCGCATGATGAAATAGAGGCTACCGACCAGGCCAGAAAAGTTGCCCTAGAAGTTCTTGCGAGGGCTCGAGACCGGCCCAACTTCGGAAATGGAGGTGATGTCGAGAATTTGCTTGGCAAAGCAAAAGCGGCCTTTTACAAGAGATTGAGGGGTGTTAGGAACCGAAAGGAAAAGAAGATCGAGGCCTCCGATTTTGACCCAGAGCATGATAGGGCCTTCAATGGTAGCAAGGCATGTGATTCACTCCTCTCATCAATGATCGGCATGGACAGTATCATCTCCCTTTTCAGAAGTTATCAAAAGGTATCGTCCGGAATGCGATCGCAGGGGATTGATCCGCGTCCATATATCCCATTCGCGTTTGTCTTCAAGGGCCCACCAGGGACTGGAAAAACTACTACAGCTCGCATTCTTGGTGATATATTCTACGAAATGGGATTCCTCTCCACCTCCGAAGTCATTGATTGCTCTGCGACAGATTTGATAGGCGAGTATGTAGGGCAAACAGGACCCAAGGTGATCAATCTTCTGGAGCGGGCTTTGGGCAAGGTACTATTTATCGACGAAGCTTATCGGCTAGCGGGAAAGTCCACTGGCAACTGCTCGAGCTTTGCTAATGAAGCTGTTGGAGAGTTGGTCGACTGTATGACAAAGCCACGCTACTCTCGCAAGCTCGTGATTGTTCTAGCTGGCTACTCGGATGATATGGATAGGCTACTTCATATGAATACGGGTTTACGGTCTCGGTTCCCCACCGATATTGTCTTTCCATCGATGAGCCCAGCTCACTGCCTTGAATATCTTGAAGTGCAGCTAGGGAAGCTCCAGATAAGAGTGGATCGAAGCCCTACCATGAGTGAATGGGAAGATTCAACTGTTCGGGACCTGTTCGCCCGGTTGCAAAAGACAAGGTCTTGGGCAAATGCCCGGGATGTTGAAACACTGGCTCGCAATATCGTTTTCGAGGTGTACAAGAGTCAACGGGGCACCAGTGACTCCGACCTCAGCGTTTCTATGGACGATATTATGAACTGTCTAGATGATATGCTGGACCAGCGCGACCAGTCTTCTGAATGAACGCCCTCTGACGCGCGGGGTCATCTGACGCTTAGCTCACAGGTTGTTAATTGAGATTGGTATTCATTTGGTTGCATCGGTTATTGATATTGGTAGCTTGCATTCATACAGCTCAGGTGCATTCAGACATATTCTAAACTATTTCTTTCAACTTAAGCACTATATTGTTAATAATACTATGAGTTTGGTATTTCATTAAGCAGTCCCTGCGCGGTACCTCTTATGATTCATGACAGTGGACTATACAAAGACAAAAGAAATTGAGCTTCACGATCTCCATTACTCATACATACAGATAAGGTTGTATTCTCGATTCTTGGTAAGAACGATACAAGAAAATCTAGAAATAACCTCTACCTCAATTCGAACTCGCTTACAAGTTTTTAGACGTATATTAGGTAAAAAGATAGAACTAGATAGACAGTATAAGCATATTTTCTCAATATGCATTCTCGGACACAATTACCGAGTCGGAGCCAATATTTACTAGAAATAGTATCCTATGAGTACAGATAGTTATGAAATTTAGAAGAAACTAGCCGTAGTCCTATCAATAATCTATACATAGGAAAGTACACATATCAGAAGAAGATGGATAAATAGATCTTGACATTTATATATGGGGAAATCTCCGATCGGTTTGATGGGCCCGGGTCTTGCCTCTAGTAAATGCAGGATCTGGCAATATCACCAAGATTCGGACCCTGTACATGACTACGCCTATAAAGGGGGTCTCCATTATGTTTTATCGTTGAGTCAAAAATATCTATCGCTCTAATTATCATATCTTACCTCGTTCTTATGAGGGCATGGTAGACTCGTAATTCCCTTCTTAAAGCATAGTACCTCTGACTTAGATTATGAAGGCAACTGACATTTACTCAACACCAAAAGTTCACATTGAAGAACCCTCATTGAGCAAAGACACTATACATCTATCGATATATTAAGCGCAGACTTCCCAAGCCTATTGCCAACAATACCCCCCCATTCGTCGGTAATATCGACGAACAACCATGGTAAAAGAGTGTCTCGACTACGACATCGGCCGAATCCACTACATCGGACCGGACAAGCATCCCGAATTCACCGTTTACAAAGATAACAAATACTTCAGGATAACCATCGGCGATGTGAGAAGATACCCCAGGTTCTACAAGAAATACAAAGCACGCCTCCGAAAATCAAATCACCCGTCGCACAGAGATCTAAAGGACGCCAAGCACAGTGTCTACCGATGCATCCTGAAGTACTGCGTTTTGAATAAACTAGCCCCCCCCCCCCACATTCGACTATACCAAGATCCACACAGTAGAGGACTGCTTCAATGAGCTCGGAGTTGTTGAATGGCGTATAGACTGGACCAAGGAAGGTGGCTTCAGATTAAAGACACCGGAACCCATCAGCAACGGGGTTGACTTCAGAGGCGTAGCCATCCCCGATGCCGTGGCGACTGGATATCCATGGCTTCCTGCATATAATCTCAGGGACATCACAGTTAAATTGGACCCTGATCCAAAATCCGTCATTCCTAAGAAGGTGTCTCTGGTTGAACAACCTAATGAGGCCCTCTACTTCAAGATGCTCACGGGAAGGGACAAATTGGATCTGATCTGCTCTTATAATGAGGTCGAGAGCTATACGAAGCTGTGGGACTCTGGGATTTACGATGAACCGCTTTTTTTAGGGGCTCGTGTTGTTGGTGTGGCGCAGGACTGCAGCAAAAAGGTGTTTGGTCTTCTTTTGTTGTACATCGAGGGTTCTACTCTCAGTGATGTGATGCGGGATGGACGACCGTTGCCGGATAAAGAACGCCGGGATAAATGGTATTGGCAGATCAAGAATAGTTTGAAGATTCTTCATCGGAGGGACTTGCTTTGGGGAGATCCTAAGGCTGATAATAATGTGCTCATTGATGTGAATGATGATGCTTGGTTGACTGGGTTTGGGAAGAACTGTACGGCCCCGTGGGTGGATAGGCGGGCAGATGGTACGCTTGAGGGGGATAAACAGGGAGTTAGGCGGTTGAAGAAGATACTGCTTTGAGGGTTTACAGCGGAGAATTGGCTTTAGTGTAATTGAACAATACTGGTATGCGCTAATCAACGAATTGCTTTGGAGGAGATAGTAATCAAGAAATTATCCACCCACCAGTTGCCCCGCCGAGCCCCATCAACCCATCATCATTGGCGAGGGGAGAAATTACCTCAAAATAGCAAAACAGCAAGACCTGAAGATAGGTTTAAAGTGGGTCTGAGCATGATTGAGGGAATATGGCAGCGCTCTGACATGATGTTACAAAAGAAGCATAGTCAGGCAACAAGGCCATAATCAGGCAGCAACTGTATTAATGACTAAGCACTCAAGGGCCCCTCCAATTTTACAATATTAATCTGAAACAATGTGAACTTCAAACATCATGGGCTTCGTTGCACTATAGACTGTCTCATAACTACCCACAACAACCCGTCGTCCACTCTTCTGTCTGTTTCCCCGGCTCTATCTCCATTGCTTTCGTCGTATCCGTTGCCCTGGCCCCTGGCCGCGCCACCACGACACGGTACTCGCCCCGGTCGCAAAACACCTTCCCCAGAAACGCCCCCAGGAAGATAGAGATGATCATGTACCCATTGTAGTACATGGCAATCAGCATGATAATGTACGCGAGCCCGAACTGCAGTGTGTGCAGTAGCGCCCGCGCCAACTGCTGCCAGGGACTGGCTCGGAAGGTAAGCACCGTTGGCCCGTGCTCCAGGCTGTCACCGCAGAAAAACTGCATGCGGTCCGATGTTGTTTGCGCTGCAACGTAGCGTTGGAATTGTCGTTGGAGATGGTCCTCGTATTGCTTGCTTAGGAGGCGGAGGAAGTCGAGTAAAACGACGAGAAAGGCGACTGCGATGCATGAGACGGCGAATTGGCCCGCCGTGTTGATGTGCCAGGTGGAGGAGAGGAAACCTGCAATTGTTAGGGCTGGATGGATCAGAGCTATACGAGTACTAAGAATTCATACAGGCATCGATTGTGGTCCAATTCCATAACATCTGCCATGCTGATTAGTCATCAGATGTCGAACAGAGGGTGAGACGACGTACGGTTACCGAGCAGGCGCTCGAGTTGGAGCTGGACATGTCCATGTGCATGTCCATGGTGGTGATGGTGATGGTGATGGTGTTGCAGTTTGGGAACCAATGGAGAGGGGAATGGCACGGTCTACTTATACGAAGCGTGAATTGAGCAGATTATCACGTACGATGCTTGGCGATGAGCAGATATCGGCCTTGGCGACTCCACCGCGATGACTCCACATCCAATCCTGAGGATATAGAAATGGCCACTGCCACCGGCTCGAGCACACCTGCAAATTTTATCCCATCTACACTTCCTCCACCATGGGGCATATTCAGGACTTCTCCCAGGATTCCGCCATGGAATACCATTGGGGGTATGTTGCCCGCCAGGTCCCCTGCACCAAAGATGCCGGTACCTGCGCCTATTTGGACGCGGTTTACCATGGCCACGATGTCAGCATGCTCTACAGCTTCATTCTGTGGGCGGTGGTCGTGGGAATTTTGTTCCTATGGGCGTTGGGAGGACGCCTCGTTCGGTTTGATCGATCTGTAGCCAGGACCTCGCCCAAGCCCATCCGCCAGAGTGCTCCCTACCGTCTTTCGCGGACGATCCAGGCGCTTGTCCGGCGACATCTGCTTCCGGAAACCTTGCCCTGGGTGTTTGGACATACCACACGTCTGCAAGTCCTCATATTCCTAGTTATCTCCGGGTATCTGTTGGTATTTACCCTGGTGGGCATCACCTACAAGACCTGGGTCACTCCCATTAGCGGCAGTTCGCTCAACAACACGCGCAGTGGATTGGGTCCGTGGGCGGACCGCATCGGTGTGCTGGCGTTCGCCCTCACTCCATTGTCCATCCTGCTCTCCAGCAGGGAATCATTGCTTTCGCTGATTACCGGCGTTCCATACCATCATTTCAACTTCCTCCACCGCTGGCTGGGATGGGTGATCTACATTCAGTCGGCCATGCACACAATTGGCTGGACCATCGTTGAGGGAAAGCTCTACCAGCCGCAGCCCGCGCAGTGGAACAGTTTCATCACGCAGCCGTACATCATCTGGGGCATCGTGGCCATGATCCTGCTCTCCTTCTTGGTCTTCCACAGCACTAAGCGCGGCATCCAGCTGACGGGCTACGAGTTCTTCCGCAAGGCCCACTACGTAGTCGCCATGGTCTATGTCGGGGCCTGCTGGGCGCATTGGTCACACCTGTACTGCTGGATGCTGGCCTCGCTGGTAGTCTGGTTCCTGGATCGGGGGATCCGCCTCGTTCGCGTCTTCGTGCTGCATCATCTGAACGTTCCGACCACGACGTCGTCCACCACCGGAGGGTTGCACATTCCGCACGCTGCGATCCAGCTGCACCCCAACCCGGACGATGGCGATATCATCCGCCTTGACTTTCACCATAATCACGACCCCTGGCACATTGGCCAGCACTTCTTCCTCTGCTTCCCGCAGTTGAGTCTGTGGCAAGCCCACCCACTCACCCCCTGCAGCGTACCAGACACCTTACCCACCGGCCAGCCGCACACCTACATCATCCGCGCCCGGAAGGGACTGACGCGGGAATTGGCTGACCTCGCACGCATCTCGTCACACAATCCTCTACCGAGTGACGGGGAGACCACCACGATGACGAGCGCCGGCCCGACCACCCCGGTGATTCTCTGTGGGCCTTACGGCCAGTCCATCATGGAGGAAACCACAACCGCTGGAAGCAGCAACCTCCTCTGCATTGCCGGCGGGACGGGCATCACCTTCGTGCTTCCCCCACTCCTCCATTTACTCAGCAACACATCCACTTCCAAGTCCCAACCGACGCAGATCCTCGAACTCATCTGGATCATCCGCCGCAAGGCCGACATGCAATGGATCGCCCCGGAGCTCGACATCCTGCAGCGCCTGGCATCCACCCACTCGAACATGTTCAGAGTTCGCATCTTCGTGACGCGGGAAACGGCGCCAGTCCCTGAGGTCTCCGACCTCGAGAAATCGCCCTGCTGTGCGGGTGCGAGTGCGTCGTCGGACTCTGAGGTTGCCGTGCAGTATACCCTTTCGTCTGAAGACACTGCAGTCGCTGGAACAGCGGCAGCGGCCCATCATCATCCGGACCTCGAGGACATTGTCCAGGATTTCCTGGACCGGGTGGTCGATGGTCCGACGCGGGTGCTCGCCAGCGGTCCGTCGGGGATGATTACCACGCTGCGGACGGCGGTGGCGGGGCGGAATCGACCGGGAAGGGTATGGCGCGGGGAGGAACGATGGGATGTGCAATTGGTGCATGATGACCGGGTGGAGTGGTGATCATGGTGTGTTGCCTTGTATATAGTTATTTTGCAGATATGAATGTGATACCCAGCTGCTATCTTTCGAGTTGCATACGTTTTGGTTCGAAGAGTAGAGTATTGCTGTCCAGCTGATCTGAACTAGGGTCCTGACTATGGTAGAGGCTCATATGACGGAGAGTGAGCCCTAATTGAAAACATCCTAGCTACATACTGTGCCATGGTATTGAACTTAGTTAGTTGGTCATGGTAGTATAGTCTCTGATTGGCTGAAGATTAAATGAACTGCTACTAGCATGCGGTATAGTGTTGTCAACTTACACTAATTTAGTGTCCAACTGCTTGTCAGATTTTAGCTGGACTATTTCTACAGTCAGGTGATGAGGCAATTGAGAGCCTCGAGCAATAGAGGCTCGCTTCGGCTCTATCCTCCGGTTCTTTCTTTTACCGACACCTTTTCTAAAGCTTTATAATACGTTCCTCTATCCGAGTCCATTGTGATCTTTATATACTTTCTCTCTCTCAAAGCGCCTCTTTTAAACTTGAAGAACAAGAACCCAAGCTTCTAGAGATAGATCCACAATGGAAGCGCTTACCCAAGAAGTTCGAAGACTGGTCGAAGCTGGTGATGAGAAGACTCGCAAAGATGTCTTGGATGCCCTACATAAGCTGAGTGTTTCGATTGAGTCTCCGGACGACACTGTGCAGCGACTTACATTCTATGTACCTCTCCCCCGGTTCCAAACACGCCAAAACTTGGGCCAAACTTCAGAATCTAATTCATAATACATTAAGAACATGCAATTGGCCAGAATCCGTATCGGTATTGACCTGAAGCTCTTCGAGCTATTGCTTGATGGTCCCCTTACTGTGGATGACCTGAGCCAGAAGACGGGAGCCAATCCAGTCTTCCTTGGTAAGCTTTTGCTCAATATCTCCCTTCAATGCTGAATCTAATCCAAGCCTATCAGCTCGTATCCTGCGCTACCTGGCATCTTATCATGCAGTCGAGGAGGTCTCCAAAGATACCTTTACTGCATCGAATATATCGAAGACATTTGCCGTATCTGGTCATCAAGCTGCGGTTGGTCATATGTAAGTAGACCGCTGTACCCCCACTTCATTTACAATGAATCAAAAACTAATCATATACTGGTCAGGTGGAACAACTGCGGTCAGATAATCCAAGTACATCCTAGTTGGCTCAAGGAGAACAACTAACCTGACATTCAGGACAATGTCAAAACCCCCTTTCAAAAAGCCCTCAACACCGACGTACCAGCTTTCATCTATATGCAGCAGCATCCCGAGGCCCTAGGCTATTTTGTGGAGCATATGATGGCCAACCGCGCCGGTATGCCTACTTTTCTGGACACCTATCCAGTCTTGGAAAAGGCGACTGGTCTGAGCCCTGAAAGAGCCCTATTCGTTGATATAGGAGGTGGCTTGGGTCACCAAGCAGTCAGCTTCAAGCAGCGCTACCCCCAGCTTGAGGGCCGAGTGATTGTCCAGGACCTTGCCCAAACCTTAGCTCACGCCATTGACTTCCCTGGGGTGGAGAAGCAGATGTATGACTTTTTTACGCCCCAGGTTGTGAAAGGTACAGTCTATTCCTGTCTCAGTGCCCTTTTGATCCTTCATTGTGACTCATCCAATGGAAAATTCAGGTGCGAAATTTTACTATCTCCGGAATATCTTCCATGACTGGCCCGATTATAAAGTACTGGAGATTATCAAGAATATAACTGAGGCCATGGCACCCGACTCATATCTCTTGATTGACGAGATGGTTCTGCCTAACACGGGGGTTCACTGGCAGCAGGCGCAATTGGATATGTTGATGATGGCTACTCTAGGAGCGAGGGAACGTACCGAGGAGCAGTGGTATCGTCTGGCAGAGGAGGCTGGGCTGACCATCAATAAAGTGTATACTTATACGATGAGCCTGCGGGATAGCATCATTGAGGCTGTGCCCAAGGCTTAGTAGCCACCTGGACTTATTAGCTATTTAGTTAGTAAACCCAAGGCATATTGACTACGAAGCGCAAAATCGGTTATTATCATGTCCTGTATTTACCCGTGCTTACATCTCTTGGAAGCCATGATTCAAGACTGGGGTTGCGCCAGATACTATTGGAGGGGGAAAGATGGGGAACAACACTCGAGAGGACTAAGACCGTAACCACAGATGGACCGAGCGGCGTAGCTGACTGCTTTGTACCTAATGCCAGCTTGACTAGTGAGATAGTATGGATATAGGCTGAGCTGAGAGCAATAAGACGAAGCGCTAAATTAGTGCTGATTCGCACGTCAAACCTGTATAGATAGTAGACTAGCCCTTATACTCAATTATAGGCAAGGAGTATATGGCTAGTCCAAATGCGTTAATTGATTATTCTAAGCGAGGATCTCGCCATATCATGTCTCAAGTGATCGAGCCAATCAACTATTATGATTACCATGCATTACTAGCTGGTTTGACCGTCGACGCTTAGCTTTCGGAGATGATGCTGAACAGGGCTAGACAGGGGAACTATTCGATGATAGGAGACAGTTATCTTTTGACTGTTAGACAATGCAAGCTGATATCACTGTCCATTAGATGAAGTAATTGATACAAGCATCCTAACCAAGGACTCACGTCTTAATGTACTATGTCTTCTTCATGTTCTGTACACCCTCTTAGAAATGGTGGCTTGCAGTTTCATGGAGTGCAGGTACCTATCCCCAAGCATTGATTCGAATAGCGATGTACACCAAACTAGTCATTCAGATACAGGTTCTTGCAATGTTAGTAATCAAAAGCGATATCAATACATGACGTTGAGAACCTAAAGCTTCTCCCGTGGTTGCTTCTATTTTAGTAGGGTGGGTTATTACCACTCAACCAGATCATACTACTGTACAGCGAAAAATATATTAACCCTACAATACATTACCCCAAAAGAATCCCACAACCAAAACAAAACAATAAAACCTGTACAATTAATTATTTCCATATCGCACTAATCAACTACAGACCAGCTCCCAGCATAGCCAAATATTTACATAGATAACTAACCTCCACCCGCCTGGTCGTTCCCCGACCCGCCCTCCCGCCGAGCCCCATCAACCAACTAACTAACCGCATGCATGCATCAACCATCCATCTCCACACCTCCCTTAACTGTTTAACACTTCACCCCATCCCATCCTCCCTACCATCAGAAAAGAATCCCTTAAGATGGACCCAGAACCACCCACAGCAGACCCCTCCAACCCCCCCGTAATCAACTACATTCTCTCCTTCCTCCTAGTCGGGGTAGCTTGGGGTTTCACCACCCCTTTCATCCGGCGCGCAGCCGCGGACTTTGCAGCCCGGCAGCAACAGAACCAGCAACCGGACGATACCAACATCACCAACAACAATGATGAGGCAAATGTCCCCCTAACAGCTGTGTCTTCCGAGTACACCGACGAAACACGCCCTGAAACAGAAGAGGGAGGAGGTGAAGAAAGCGAGGAAGATAATCCTCCCCCAGCTAGCCACCAAGAACAGCAACAACCAGCATGGATGCAGCAGCAACATCAGAAACAGCAATCCTGGCTCCGCAAAAAGATCACCACGTTATTCTGGACAGTTGTAAACCTGCTTCGCACTCCTGCTTATTCTATTCCCCTGGTGGTGAATCTTACCGGGAGTGTGTGGTTCTTTTTGTTGGTGGGGAAGCATGGTATGTATGCCCTTTACATTGTTACCTTCTATGGGTAGATATGTGGTATGGAGTAATTGTATATATACTAATGATGATATATAGAGTTATCATTAACTGTCCCCCTCGCCAACTCTAGTGCGTTTCTGTTCACCGTGTTGGGCGAATGGTATGTTGAGAGGAAGGTCATTGAGCGGGAGACGTGGTTGGGGATGGCGTTGGTGTTGGGTGGGATTGCGGTTTGTGTTATGGCTTAGTTTTACTTTCCTATTACTAGGTATTACTTATTTTGTGGATGTATGTATATTATAGTCTTTGGTGTGGTTGTTGATGGGTTGATGTTGGTGTGTGGTGGAAGGATGGAAAAAAAGAATCGCAAAAAGATGTGGTGCATCATCCGTGAATCGAACACGGGCCTCATCGATGGCAACGATGAATTCTACCACTAGACCAATGATGCTGTTGTTATAGTATGCTGCCCCTTTAGTGATTAATATGACAGAGGTACAAGGAGACTGAAATTGGGCTATGTGTTTGTCTTCTCCACGAAGTTACTTGGGCTTTACGTGTTAATGTTACGATGCTCATATAATGTCATATGTTACATAAACTAAAGAACTATCTATCATATCAACAACCGGGTATCCCGTTGCCCCGTGTATCATGAAACCATCATTGCTTGTCATCATCATACCATACCGAGCCTGCAGCGGTATGCTGTCTGTCTGTTTATCTGTCCATCTAAGCCGACTCATCGAACGCCAGATTAAACACCGCGGAACTAAACCCTCATTAGCTGAATCCACACCTTTAGGTTCTGGCAAACTTACCATCCGCACAGTCAAGAACCACATCGCTCCCATGAACTTGAAAAGTGACAATCCCGCTACACTCCACAGCACCACCGCCATGTAAATGGTGGCGCGCGTGTTCTCCGTCGTCTCCTGGTCGCTGCTGAACTCCTCCAGACCAGCCGCGCTGAGCACCACCGCGGCCAGGGCAAAGTTGCAAAACACCCACACCAACACGACCGCACTGCGGAATCCCTTGTAATAGTCGGCCTGGCGGTCTTCCTCGGAGACGGTGTTCTCCTCCTTGGGTGGCTTCGACGCGAATTTGACCAATTCGGCTTCGTATTGTGCGTTCAGATCGCCGTCGTCCTGCGGGATGTTGACGTCGACCTTGCCGCCGGGCTTGAGGTTTGCAGACGGCAGTTTCTCTGCTTTGTCGTCTCCCTTTGTACCCCATGTGATATCGTGTGTGTTACAGAAGGCGTAGATGTTGAGCACGTTGATGTAGGTCGGAGTGAGGAGAATGTATTGGATGAACTGTACGGGTTAGAAGAGAGTGGCATCGGCAGTGCTGGGATACTTACGGAGGTAAACATGTGCCAAGGGTCCATGAAGATGAACGAGGCGAGGAACCACATCACATAGGTAGAGCCGAGCGACACGATAATCGAGAAGAACTGGTAGTTGGTGAAAAGATCCGAAAAGGTGAAACCGCTTTCCTGCACTTGTGATTGGATCGACTTCACGGTTACGAAAACCGCCGCGAATGCCAGGTATATCATGATACCAATCCAGAAATAGACCATCGTCATATAGAATTTGTTCGATCCGCCGGGTCGGTTACCCAATGCCAGAACAAAGCAAGTTACCAAGGTCGCGAGGTAGAGCCATTCGAATACCACGCCAAGCACTTTGCCAACTGTGCCCAGCAGGTCGTCATCGCCAAGGTACTCTGTAAGAATATGGAAAACCAGGAAGAAATTGCCCTGTGTCTGTTAGTGACGTTTTGCCCGAAAGGGAGAAGCTACTTACAATGCCAAACCACGCGAACAGCATGTTGATGGTCTGATAGATGAACTCGATGAACAGCATGAACTTCCGCATAAAGCTATGGTCGCTTCGCCAGATCTGCCAGAAGTGCGCAATGGCATAAACTGCAGCGAAGAAACTACCGTTGAGCCAACGACGACGTTGAAGGATGAATTCGGCCATCCGGTCTGGGACATCGGTTTCACCATTGGCCGACTTAACGTATCGTAGCAGCCAGCGGCAGTTGCGCTTCGACACAATCTCGAAGCAAAGAATACGATCCTCGGCCAGGTACATGTTTGCCGTGAAAATACCGGCATTGGCACCATGCATCTTCTCTCCCAGGAAATACCGTTCCAGCGGACCTTGTCCGTTTTTGTCGTTCTGCAGCGCGACGTATCGGTACGCAGAGAAGGCACCCGGAAGGACAGTAATGAAACCAAATGCCGACTCCAGCGGCTTATCGAGGATGTTACTGAGCTTGTACTCGAAGTTCTGCCCGGCAACCAGCGGGTTGAGCAACTTCTTTCCATGCGACAACATGACCTTGATCTCACCACAAGCACCTCCACACATCGGGTCAACATCGAAGGCCTTCCATAGATGGTAGATCGAGTCCTTTCCAGGCCGCGTACCCGCGTCCAACAAAACACAGATGTTCGGATCCAGCACGCGTCCAAATGCCTGGAAGAACCAACGGTGCGAGTTGATCTTCTTCTGGTTCTTTTCCTTCAGACAGAAGATCATCTGGACGGGGCAACCAGACCGAGGCTTGAGGCTAACCTGGCCTCCCTTCAATTCTAGTCCCACCTGCGTAGTGTATTCATAGATATGTGCTGTGACATCCTTGCCGTTGACTTGCTGCTTGGCAATACCATCCTGATAGCATCCCAAACCAGCCAGGACAGCGCGCGTGCGCGGATTGATCTTCGCACGACCATCACTGATGACACACACCACAATCTTCTTCCATGCATCTTTGCCCCACGTCTTGCTTGATGTCCTGGAGCACATGTACTCAATGTTCTTGAACACACCAATCATCGTCCGAGCGAAGAGGAAATCATCCTCATTGTACATGGTGACCGCGATGAAAAGCTCCGTGTGTCGAGGTTTGGCAAAAAGCTTCTGACGCAGAGTGAAACGCTCTTCGAAGAAGTCGGCCGGATCGCACGTGGCGGCAGAATAACGCATGTGCGTGAACTCATCTCGACCCGGGGGTTCGGCGTGAGGGACCTGACTGAGCAGGGCGGGCGCAATTGGGCAATCCAGCACGAGGTTACCGTTGAAGAGCTGCACCTCCTTGACGGTCTTCCATCGACGAACTGGCGCCGGACTAGGCGTAGGTGCAATTGTAGGCTCCTCTTCATACTCATCGGCATACGGATCCGGTCCGAATGGGTTGTCTGGTTGCAGGATAGGGACCCGATCATCGGTATATGATTGTTGATGCTCGGGATATTGCCCCAAGT